TTCATTCAACAGAGATTAGACAAGCTCGATCTCGAATATTTGACTCTTACCGCTTTCTTCCCTATCACGGCAGTGCAGCACTGGGAGAACTATTTGTATTTTTGTGTTACTTTTGATCAGAGATTCTTGAGAGATTCCTGATTATCGAAAAGCTCTCCAAAGTGCTGAAGATCCCCTTCAAGTTCAAACGTATACGTCTTAGTTCGTAACGTCACCGCACCAACACGGCCCTCATTACAAACCAATCAACGCAAACCACCGTCCAACCGCGCGAATTTCGAATAAATCGTTCCGCTAATCCCCACAAACAAATTCTCCGCTTCATAATTATTATCCTCCCCCGCCAGTGTCAAATTGCCGACTCGGAAGAGGACGATGGGGGGGGGGGGGGGTGAGAGGGGGGCCGTAACTCGGAAGGCCGAAAACCGTGCGATGCGGTGGCGAACGCGGGAACTACGACAAACGAACCATGAAATTAATTATATAATACCGAAATGATCTTCTTAACCACGGCGTTAGCAGAGAGCACCCGGGTCTTATTTCTCGTGTTTAAATGAATTCCCCCCCCCCGCCCCACCCCCTGCCATTTCCCCCTCCGCGGAGGAACCGAAAACAACACCCGTGTATCGGCGTGTTCATATTCCGCAGCGAACTAAATTTAAGCTCCTTGTGTTTCCTTAACTTTTCACCCCGAGTTGCCAAATTTTGAGGGTATTTTCCTCGTTTTGCTTTAGTTCCAGTGCTTACGTGATAACGGCTCCGGTCAGGTCGCTACTCAGTTTTTTAGTTACTTTTCGTTTTTTTGCAGCTAAAAATGAGTTGGTTACAGCTCGAAACGTTCTGCCTTTTAGTATTTTTTAATTTTTTAGCCTTGTTTACCCGTGTTTTTTTGTGCTTTATCGTGTGCGCTTTAGTCCGATCTTAAAATTCCTGTTGTTTTCGGAGAGAAATTTCCCAAAGCGCCTAAAGGATCGTCGTGTTGACAATTCCTTCATCAGATTTCTGATAACTAAAATCACTGTTCTCGATGGGGGATTTCGTCTCTTGTAACGAGAATCGCATCGGAACAATAGATATTCTGTTGTCTGAAACAGAAATCTGGAGAGAAAATTATGAATAGGGAAATCATGATTCGTGCTCCAATGTGAATAATGTTCTATCTGTTCTGTTCTCTTAGACAGACTTAACCGACTTCTTCTTCTGATTTCATGCAAAAATCAGACACATTTTGATCAAACATTTCGCAGGTACATTCTTGTGAAAAAATGAATTGTTTGAGTAAATTTTGCAACTTCGGAATAGAGTCACGTCCCTTCGTCCGGGAAATGACGAATTTCATGCCATAATTTTTATCAGAATTAGAAGAATAACGGGCTGGTATTCATTTTTTTAAAGTACGGGCAAGATATTTATTTATTTCTGGACCATCTGGCAGCAAAGCCTCGTAAGCCCCCAAGACAGAGAGCACGGTAAGAAAACCGCTGAGCGGAACTTTGCTTGGGGGCGTTCGACGGATTCGGAAACAAACTTGCGAATCCCTCTCCGGAATCATCGGAACTGATCGATTGCCAAATTTTGCCAAGTCCCCAGTTAATTTCATGAGTCATTTTTGGCCTGTAGCTACCCTTACCGACGCTCCAAGTTTGTAAATACACCCGTAAATATTTCTCAAACTTTTGGCGCTATACTTGAATCTGCAAAACACAACTTTTTTATGAAATGAGGGGTTTCAATGGTATAAAAGCCGCTTGCGTTGTCCGTGCATTTCAAGTTCTGAATTTTATGGATTAGCTGACACATAAAGCACCCGCAAGATTATTGGCTGAATTTTGCCCTCCGGTTTCAGCTTTATAAGCACTGATTCAGTCTTATAAGACTATTGGATGACTTGTGGCACACGGAGAAAAAAACCTCGTGCGTGGGACCCGGAGTTTAAGGTCATTTGGATCTCTGAAGTTTTCAGATTGAGCATCTGAACACTTTAGATCTAGCTGTCGAGGTTCGGATCACACATCTGAAACTTCAGTTCTTACATCTCAAGTACTTCAGATGTAAGAACCGAAATTTTTCGGATGTGAAAACCAAAGTACTTCAGATGTCAGAACTGAAGTTTCAGATTTGTGATCCGAACCGCGAAAGTGTTCAGATGCTCAATCTGAAAACTTCAGAGATTTATATGACCTAAAACTTCGGGTCCCACGCACGAAGTTTTTTTCTCCGTGCAATTTTACGGAGAACGGTAGCTTCCCTCAATAAAATTTTCCTATCAGAAGCTTGTGAGTCCATTTCCTCAAAACTTCTTTTTTGCACTTACTCTTACATTACGCAAGATTATTGTAGTACATCATGGGAACAGATCATTGTTATTACAGTGACCTCTCGTGTGTTCAAATCCGCAACTTTAAACGCAGACACCTTATCATCAGTCAAATCCAAATCCAAAGGAGCTCACACATAACAGGTGAACCTGATTCGGAATCTGCATGATGTTCGCTCCACTATCATGGATCGTATTCGATACATCGAACGAGTGAGATTGTATCGATATCGATTGGTTCAACAAGTAAACCTAGCCTCAAAAGGATGGATTTAAATTCGAATGAGTACCATATGGCAATGAAAAATGAAATTGTTAGGAACTTTTTCATTCTCAGCTTTTTTAACTTAAATATTCCGAAATTTTTGTGCGGAGTTATGTTCTATTATTTTGAGGCAAACGATACATCGAACCACTATCGATTGCGATCCATCGCGCTCCACACTCATTATCTCCGTGAGAGACATTAGTCATCTGCGACTCGTCAAATGATGATGAGACTTGCCAGAAGACGCCGGATTACCATAAATCGCGATCCGTCTGGGAGGTACCGGCGAATTAAAAGCCATTATTTTTCACGGTTTGCTGCCGTCGAAAATAACCCCCGCCGACCCCCCCCCCCCCCCGCGGGGGCACGTCGCAGCTGTATGAATTGCACAATTTCGCAGAGATTCGAATTCGAATTCTGGACGGAGACCCCGTGTGATTCGATTCCGTCCCTTCTTTATTGGGCTCGCCTTTCGTTTTTTCGAATGTATCATTTGAATTTTAACTGCTCCCGAAATGACTGGCAGATTTTCGTGTCTCCGGACCCCTCCAGCGATGACGCCACGTTTGCAGCGGTGCCGAATTCAGCTGCACTATAAAAATTTCCGACTGGAATCGTATTTTTTTCTTAGCGAAAGTCATCTTTTGGGAATTCGATTTTTTCTCTCATGAATTTCACCACTTATTTTCGTTTGTAATCGTAACGGGTAAATTTTTCTAGAGAATATTTCTCAACATATTGCTCACCAGTCAATGAGAAAGCGTTGAGCCTCGAGAAAAATTTTACACCTTGCAAAACCATGAGCGTGGGGTTTCCAAGACATTGTGCCTATTTGCACCACACATGCAGCATCTCCTAGGCTAGACCTAGACTGATCAGACCGACCAGACTGGCTAGACCAATTTAATAATATAGCTTCAACGCTCGTCTCATAACATTATTTCCGATCGCGGCATCCATGGACACAAAATTCGAAGAGGAGGCTAATAACGTGGTAATCAAAAGCCATGTCGATCGGATGGTGCGCATCGACTCCGCACACCGCGCCACTGTCGCCCGCGGCGATTCGGCCGATCCCTCAATTCTCAGACGAAAGAACCTAATCCATTTTCAAAGGCGCAAAATTTACTTAAAGTATTTGTCCTTTCACACGGAAAAAAATCACGGAGTTTCTGCTCTATATTTTGATGATTTTTTCCTTCAATCTGTAAAGTAAAAAATTCGTAAGGTTTTAGGTGGAATGTTCTTCAAACTGTTCTGTGACCGCACATTTTACAGAATAGATATTGAGTTACGTTCTTTTGACTGGAAAAGGATGGATCCGCAGACAGCCAACACAGGCACACTGAGATAGTCTAATTATCGATATTCAAACAAACGGCCGGCTTAACACTAATACTGCCGTGCTAAGGAAGAACGCCGTATGAACCTTCAGGCGTTGCGAAATTTACTTTGATAAAACATGAATTTCCTGGTAAACTTATGAATATTTTCCTTCTAATTCTTCAGATAATTGTGTTCGCAATTTCATCTAAAGTCCCTGAAAATTTCTAGGAAAAATGTTTGTATCTTTCGATGATCTATCTATTTTCGATGACATTTATGCACATTTTGCCTTGAAATTTTCAGATATTTTAGATTAAATTGCATACAAAACTGTCTGAAAATTTTGGAGAAAATATTCACAAATAGTACCCAGTAGTACACCAGTAATTTCCCATTTTATCGAAGGAAACTTGACAACGTCTGATGGCTCATATGGCGTTTTTCCTTAGCACGGCAGTATCGGAAAGAGGCTAAGTTGGCAATACGGTTCTCAATTGCTTCAAGCCGACGTGAGAGATGATGTATCATTGTTTTTTTCCTTTCTTGAAACAGTATTTTTGATCCGTTTTTTGACCCTGCCTGGGCCCCGCGAGCCCGCTTCATCACTCATCGACGGTGATGTATCGCTTTTGGAATCGTCCTGTCAAGGAGGGCTGTAATCAGTGCAGTTATTTTGTCCGATCCTCTACGTATGTGATCTCGCGTCTCCAAACTGTGAGATTTTTTTTGCCTTTTGGAATTATTCTGTCGTTGAGATGACGCACCGGACTGATCAAATACAGAACTACAAATTGCCGTTGTATGAAGAAACGCCGTGAGAACTTTCAAACGTTGCCAATTTTCTTCGGATAAAATACGAAATTTTGGCAAATATATAAGTCCTTTCTGTTTCTGTAATTAGCAAAATAATTTAACTTTTAACTTAAAACGGTGTTTCTGGGAATTTGAAGGGAGGGTATCAATAAGTTTCACAGAAAATTAAATGCTACATCAGAAAAATATTTTCACAAAGGTTCAGTTAGTGATTCTCAAGAAGAACTTTCATATTTGGCAGGTTTTTAATTATGAATTCTGTCTTTATGTTCGCAGGTGCTTGATGTCACACAAAACTACAGAAAGGTACGTTTGCCTCACAATTTCTAATGATTGAAATACCTCATAAATGCATTTCTTTCATATTTTGATTTTCACTCATCAACATATTGGATCATTCAAAAAGGCTCAAAGAGGCCAAGACAATTGAGTATAATTGACCCAATATCATTTACAGGAAATTGTCTGCCCCTGCATTATGAGTGACCGGTTTTAAAACTAACTTCTTTAACCGGCTGCAAGACAACAATCTAGTATAATAAATGACCTAGGAGGTTCCCCTCCTACGTTCTTCAAAGATGACAACATTCTCAAGTTCTTGGTCTCTTGTGACAAAAAAACACTCTCTTAATGCATGATTTTAATTCAATTTCATGTTTTATCCCTTAAAAAAAAAAAAAAAAAAAAAAAAAAAAAAAAAAAAAAATAAAATGAAAAGTGCATGTGTTTGCATGCCTAGCTATAGTTTTAAGTCCTCCATTTCTTGTGGTGTTTGCCACCCATTTTATTTTTCTAATTTTTCTTAAATTTTTATTTGAAGTCATATCTCTACAAAATCACCAATCTTGAAAGAGGACGAAAAAAAAGCTTTGAAAGACTGAAGGCTTTTGCCTCGACCTAAATGAAAATGTTGATTTCTCAGCACAACCACTAGTTTCCTTCAACGATAGATTGCGGGGAATTTACCGATACGCTAAAATGTAATTTCCTTGGCATCAGCCAATCGGTAACAAATGCAAAAATCAAATTTTCATCAAAACGTTTTCGCAACCACCATGATAAACGCTAAAGCTGAGTTTTCATATAGCGTCGTATTTTATGTTGAACTTTACCTCGTCACCTTTTGGTCAAAGTATCACAAGCGCCATGTGACGTTTCCAAATGTCGCTATTTTATTTTTTTACAGAGTAGTTGGTTGAATCTGTTTGAACATTTCACTGAATTTTATCGGCAGCATAAAGAAAATTCAGTTAAATTTTTGGACAGCTTCGTTGAACAATTTCTCTGTAAAAAAAATGCAATGGTGGCGTAAATTTGAAACGTCCAATGGCGCTCATGATACTTTGGCCAGAAGGCGACGACCTGTGCAAATGTCGAAGTCTCTTGCCAAAAACATTTAGTGGGTCAACACAGAGGAAGAAGGAGAAGTGTCTTTGATTCCAAACATGCGTAATATCCAGTCAAAGAATGATCATCAGAAGCTCCGATTTTTCCCCCGTCTTTTTTGCAGTTTCTGTAGCATCGTCGCATGCGATTCCATCTTTCCCAGCGAACATGGCATCACAAAATCACGCGTGGCTAAACTGCTAATCCGAATCGATTCGGACTAGTAGGTGTTTTATAAACAAACATTCGGCCCTCTAGGATTACCCCCCCTCCCTTCCTCTCCCCCGACGAGGCACGATCTAAAGTCCCGAGGGCCGGTCGCCGCCCCTGCCAAAACGCCCCGAAAACCAATCGTTTCCCAGGCGAAGGAACCTAACTCCATTCTAATGTTGCATAACTGAACCGATCTATTCGAATTTCTGAAAGTTTACAACTGAGAAATAATTGTCCGGCATTTTTTCTGATTTTTGCGTGTGATCACCTTTTAAAAAGAACTCTTCAGAAATTCGTAATTTTAAAAAGACAATTCTTGAGAAACTGTTAAAATGTTTGTTTCAGGAAATCTCTTATTAAGTACATTTGGATCACATTTTGCAATAAGGAACCACCATTTCTGGCTCATTTCTAAAAATAAAATATATGCCATTGGTGGAAAGGTGCTTTTATGGAAAAACCAGAGATATTGACTCCTTATCGCAAAATGTGGTCCATCTCTTCAAGTAAAATTTACGAGCGGTAAAATTTCAGTAATCTTTAAGTACAAACAGGTTTAAATGACGTCTAAAATATCAATTGTAATTGTTCAGCACCAGAAGTGTTTGTAAACAGTGTAAGAAAACACCTCCTCTAAAAGGATTCAATTCTTAAAAGACCCATTTTGCAAACGGTTTAATTTTACTTTAAAAAAAAACCTAGAAGAATTTTCTAAAACAAACATTCTAACAGTTTTTAGGAGTTTTTGAAAATTTCATTTTAAATGTCATTGCCAGTAGTTAGAAAAAAAATTAGACACTATCAGTCAGTAATACCTAAAGGTTTCCATCAAAAGAAAAATTAGCGTGTGGAAATTTCGCAACGTTAAAGTATTGTTACGTTATTTCATCCAAAAGAGCAACGAACCTACCGAAAAACCTACTCCGGCCGTAAAAACCGGCAGCAAGGCCCGGTTTGGAGTGGAATGCCGTTTAATACCCCGTAATGTATTACACTTACGAGTGTGTATAGATTCGGAGACTATAATTTAATACGCTCGAAATAATTTCAGATAAATGGGAGCCGGGATAATAGCTGACAATAAGCGGGGGAAAAGGTGGGTCAGGCGACATTTTAAACACCGAGAAACACAGCTCCGCGACAACAAGGGAATCGGAGCTGTAACACGGCTCCTGCGCATACAAATGCCATCTAATAAAAGAAGGTAACAGCTCCAACAAAGGGGCTTCTGTCGCCTTGCCCGGTGTGAAAATCAAAAACCACCCAACTCCCCCCACGTTCAAGGCACAGATACGGGGTTTCGGCGGCTCGCACGGGGGCTACCGCCGTAATGCGACTTTAACGCATCCTTGCGTTTTTTTGCACCCTCTTGAGTCTTAGGGTATTTATTTGACACGGGCACTCCGATTCCGTGAGCCCTTGGAGTGCTCGCCGGACGCCCCTCCTGATTTGACAAACAACAATTATTTGCTTTTTGGTTTTATCGCTCTCTTCTCCTCCGTCACGCGTTTTACGTTGCGCCTCTCGCGCGTTTTACTCGCTGAGTGGAGCGTGTTATTTACGGCCCGCGACCGTAGCCGTGTCCGTAAATAAAACCGCGAATAAATCATATCCGTAATGGGAGCGCTTTTGTTTCCTCGAGTGTTGGGGCTTGTAAATCGGGAGTGATTCGGGTGTGGTTTCGTCTTTGGTTTTTGGTTCTCCTCGGTTGTAGTCGGAGACGATAAATTTCAGGGATTTTTTTTTTCTTTATAAGAAATTTTATTTAAGTAAAACGTAACTTCTACATGAATATGTGTTGTATTTATCTACATTGTTTAAATATACTAAATTAATTTTGCTTTTAAAATTTGAGCAATTTCTTCTAGGTGCGGCAGAAGTTAAATTTGAATGTCAGCGCTGATTTTCACAGAATGATGATTAACAACTTGTCGAGCATAAAATTCGCCGAATGATGACTGATGAATGTCGGAGTAAGCATGTTGTGAGGCGAGTTATCGCAAATTAAGATAGGATTGCTAAACAAATTGCTCAAATCTTCGGCATTCAGTCATTTATCACTATTGGAATCATGACATCACTAAATTTAAAAATTAGTCGAAAGTACCAGAGTATAGCACGGTCAAACAATAAAATATTATTAGAATATTAAAAAGCCACTCACTAGTCAGAAGATATTTTTATTAAATTTTCGACGTGTTTCGACCCACACTGGTTATCATCCGGGACGCGACTCGTTTTTAATATTTGAATAATAATTTATTACATAATAATAATAAATTTAATGATATTTTATTGATTGATAGAATCACTACTTAGACATCAATTAAAAAATCTAAGCAATGCAATCGAGTGTAGCAAAAGTTAAAGGTCATCACTGCTCAACAGTAATTGTGGTTTGATGAGTAACTTGTTGAGCGGAGAATCAAATAAAATTTGCCTCCTATGATGATTGATGAACGTCGGGGTGAACTCATCGTCTGCTGAGTTTTTGCTAAATCAGTTGCCTAACTCTTTGCGCACCAGTCAACATCCGGCGAATCCGGGTTTAGACCTCCGACTAACTTTTACCCTATGAGATGAATAACAAAGCGCGGACTCTTTGAATGAACCGAGTTTATCAGAGAGGAACCAATCCACATTTCCGGAAAAATTGAGTTCAGAATGTTTTCGAGTTCCACTAGCCGTATAATTCCTCCTGCCAAAATCTGAAAGTCAAAAACAGAAATTAGTTTTGAGAAAAGAGGGGTTAAAATTTAATTTCTACATCGAGCCTTAAGCAGGAAAAACATTTCAAACCTCTTTTTCTCAGTTTCAACTTAATGTGGTTCGGCTTCCTTCTAATGAACTCGGTCCAAATGTTGTCTCTGTACAACACAAACAATTTATTCGGCTTCCAAGCACGGAATCAATGCATTAAGTCGGAGTAAATCAATAGATAAACGAACTGAAGAGGACGCGGCGCTTTTTCTGACGTCAATAGATGAAACATCGGTCAATTAGTCATCGACATGGGTATACAGCATTTGCAGAGCTTCGCACTGGCCCCTTCTCACCCCCCTCCACTCACGCGACTGTCTTTCGCCGCAAAGACAAGGTGATGTCAGAACGATCCTCTTCATTTCTTCTCCAGTGATTATCGACTGACAGCAGCATAAGTCGTCGCACGTCTGACAAAAGGACATATCTCATTTTCCACATAAGCCCTGAAAAGCATGGAGGCATATGGAGAACAGGGCTCACGTTGAACTGGAGATACGCTCTTACGTCAGAGGAGCGACGAAGTGTCCTGCACAACTTACAAAGCGCCTACTTTTACACTAAGACACAAGCGTTTTATACCTAGCAAATAACATTCAGCACTCCTATTATAGAAAAATGCCTGATTGCCGAGTGTCATTTACTATTTTTCAGTTTGTGTCCGTCAATCAGAAACTATACATTTATAGACTCTACAATTGGATTACATTTTGCAATTTGGAATCACAGTTTCTGGTTCTTCCATAAAAGTACCTTTCTGCATAGGGAAACCGATGGCATCTGTGTTGTTCTTATAATAAGCCAGAAACGGTTGTTCCATACTGCAAAATGAAGTCCAATTCCGTACTGTTACCCTCCATAAAAAGAAAACGTTACTTTTAGAAATAGACGATGAGATTTGTCCAATGCTGACTGATTACTAAAAGTGGAGAAATTGGTTGAGCATA